GCTAAGGATGTCTGACTGCAGCTTAGGTCTGCTCCCCGCTGGCAAGTGGACATCCCCCGAGGGGTGCCAGGCTGCCAGAGGGATGTCTGACTGCCAGCTTGGGCCCGATCCCCCAGGGAGTGGGCCTAAGCCAGCAGGTGGACATCCCCCGAGGGGTCCCAGACTGCAAGAGGGCATAGGCCGGGCTGAGAGACCCCCCTGAGTGAACAAATTTTTGTGCACCAGGCCTCTAGTGTAAAATAAAAAAACTATAAAACTCTTAGAAAATAAGATAGAAGAAAATTTAAATGAACTTGTGTATGGCAATGACCTTTGAGGTATAATACTAAAAGCTCAATTCATGAAAGAAATAATTAAGCTGGACTTCATTAAAATAAAAAAACATCTGGTCTGTGATTAACAATGTCAAGAGAATGAGAAGACAGAGTGTGAGGAAAATATTTACAAAAGACACAGCTGATGAAGGACTGTGATCCAAAAAAAAAAAACCTGATTAAAAAATGGACTACCAATCTTAACAGACACTTCACCAAAGAAGATATGCAGATGGCAAATAGTATTAGACTCTGGACTTTGGGTGATTATTATGTGTCGATGTAGGTTTTTCCATTGAAAAAATAAAAAAGAGAAGAGAAAATGTGAGGTATCAAGCCAGGAAAATATACTCAGCATGGGCATGAATCTATAGGAGCTAAGCAAAGCTGTTGAGGACAGGACATTGTGGACATCAATCATTCACAGGGTCACTAAGAGTTGGAGCCAACTCAATGGCATATAACACACATAGAATCTTCCTAGTGTTCTGGAAAAAGTCAGGGAGAAATAGGTTGGTATCAGATTTAAATAAGAAGGTAGAATGAAGAGCAATTACTCTTGCAGTGAAAATTTCAACTACTTCATAATTTGTTATTGTTATTCATGCTCCATGTCATAGAACAGAAGACCCTATGTTTTTTCAGCCATGACCTCTTTGGATTTTTGGAACATATATGTGGTGAAATATGTTTTCCTATATTAATTGATGTATTTTTTAGTCCTGGTTATTCATTTTACCCCATGTTCTTTCCTCTCACTCAAGCAAAATTCCTATTATTTCAATACAAGAATTTCATCATAGAAAATAATTTTAAAAAGAATTGAATCATAGGTCTGGTGTTTTGAAATAACTTTCTGAAACTCATGGTAGAAAAACATAGTTTTGACAGCAAAGGCTTCTTGAGTTTCAAAAATTGAAACTTTGGATCTCCAAAACTGTGATGGATTGAAGTTATAACATTTATAAAACAACAACGAATTTTGGGGGAAAAATAGAGATCGTTAATACACCCCACCCCAAACTACATAAAGAATCTTGGGACAGAGGGAATAAGGAAATCGAAAGTTGCTTAGAAATCAACCTTAACTTTTTTGTTCCTTAGAAGATAGAAATCTCAGGATGGCTTGAAATTTCAATGAGCTAGAAATTTAATAGAATTAGAAATTAGCTAGAATTTCTGGAGATGGAAAGTACAATAGCTGAAAGAAAATAACTAAAAATACAATTTTAAAAATCAATAGAGCAATTAAAATGATACCTTGTGAATATTCATAGCATTCCTACTCATGAGAACCATAATTTGGAAATAATCCAAAGTCCTATTAATTGATGAATGGATAAATAAAAAGTTATATAGCCACATATAGGATTATTATTCCACAATAAAAATGAATAAAATACCAATACCTGCTACAACACAGATGAACCTCAAAAACATAAGTAATAGAAGCCAGACACCAAAAGACTGCATGTTATATGATTCCATTTATGTGAAATATTCTGAAAAGATAAATTTAAACAAACAATATTTAAAAAAATAAAGAATTTAAAGAAGCAAAAAAGCAGATTTGTAGTTGCCTATAACTAAAGAGGTTGGAATTAGGCTTAATAAGAAATGAGATTGAGGGAAATTGGGGGAGTAATGGAAACGCTCTTAAAAAATGGATTGTGCCAAAGAACTTGTATGCATGCACATGAGCATAACCAATGGACACAGACAGTAGGGGGGTGAGGGCATGTGCTGGGGGGCAGGTGTGGCCAGGGAGAGGTCAATGGGGGGAAAAGGAGACTCATGTAATACTTTAAACAATAAAAAACTTAAAAAAAATTTGTAGAGAATCAAAAGATAATATTTTTCTAATAAAAGTTTAAAACATGAAAAAAAAATGGATTGTGATTTGTGGAATATAATGAACATCATAAACTGAAGAACCAAAATAGATACAGAGACAAAGAAACATCAAACAGACTGTCAAACTTCAGCGGGAAGGCAGGGAAGTGGGGGGCAGTAAGAGATCAACAAAGGACTTGTATGCATGCATATAAGCATAACCAATGGACACAGACAGTAGGGGAGTGAGGGCATGTGCGGGTGGGGGTGGGGAGGAGGAAGGCCAGGGGGAGGTCAATGGGGGGAAAAGGAGACATATGTAATACTATTTGTAATACTTTAAACAATAAAAAAAATGGATTATGGTATGTCTACACAACTCTATAAATTTACAAGAAATTATCAAAATACACATTCTTTTTCTTGCACTAAACTAGTAATGGCGAACCTTTTGAGCTCGGT